TTTGGAGATTTCAGTAAGGTTAAAACAGCATTTAATACAATTAACTATGTAGATTTTATCTTTCATAAATCTGTGCTACATTTATTACGGCCCATATCACCTCTGTCAGACAGAAGTCATTCTCACTGATTGTCCTGTTGGTTTGAGATTATGTGGTGGGCTCCCATACGTTTTCAGCAGTACAGGGGTCATCAAACTCAATCAGAGCTGGACTAACAGGTACACACTGAATCATTATAGCAAAAAATACAAGATTCATCTAGTATATATTACAAAGAACTGTATGTATCATTGAAGTGATGGAGAAAGACAAATTAGCAATGACAAAACTGACTCATTAAAAACACATTTAAATGCAACTTTATGTTCAGTGTTCTCATGACAAGACATAAATAAAACAATGCCTGAGACTGTCAGCCATTTATTCATTGTTCCTGTAAAAGCAGAATCAATATGCTTTGTTTTGGCTTCATGTGCTTTCCAAAAAAAAAGGTAATTATAAATAAGATACAGAATTTAAGACTTACAGCTAAAATTAAGTTGACATGTTCTATAAAGATTATAATATTAAATGTTGCATATTAAGCAAGTGGCAACCACTGAGGCTGAACTTTTCTTTGTTACCAAAAGTCCCAAACACTCCTGAATATCCTGGAAGGAAACTAGTGACCTGCTAAAAGCGAGTCCATTCCTACTCAGCCTTATATTTAAAGCTGAAATAAACATGTTAACAGCCTGATGCAGAAACTGTTTAGAGCTACAGCTCATTTCCCCAGTTCACAACAACTGTACAGGGATAGTATTTTTAAACTATCAATTAAAAATGATAATATTGCTCACATTTAAGCATTAATTAATTAAGGGCATTGCTGCTTTGACTGACAGATGGGGTCGTTAGCTGTCTGCTAGCTGGGCTGATTCAGGGCAATGAACTTAGACTCTTGGTGATTCATTGTAAATGATGAATCAGAGATGGTAAACATCATTACATATACTTTCAATCTTATAAACGACATGCAGTTTATTCTCGTGTGCTGTGCTCTACATGTATGTGTTGTCTGTACTCTCCCCTTGTACTCTATGTGCTTTGCATTCCTTTTAATGTGATTCTTGTCTTTCAGCATTTAGAAAGGCGCTATAAAGATAAAATGTATTTCTTGCTTGCTTTAAACTTGCTTTTTAAAATGGACATAAAGATATGACAACACATTGTTTACTGAATATAAATTACCGCCTGCATTTTTGGCTGAACTCTAATGTGGTAATAGTTATTATGACAGTAATTTTGTTTTATTGACACTACCATAAATACTGTGCACAAAACCAGCCATAATTGTTTTTCATCAATGATCCTCATTTCTCAACACAACCTTCCTGGCACAGCCAAAGAGTGATGATGTCTGCTTTGTTCTCTCTGTGATACATGGCTGCAGGCTGGTTTCACTGGCATTGCACCCAGTATTCACAGGTGTTTTGGGAAATCATTTGTATTATTATTCAGTTTCAGAGCTGCATTCAATTTGCCACCGTCCAGTCAGACTTGAAGGATCACACCACAGAAAAAACAATATTTCAGGTCTGCTGCACATCTATAAAGCAACCCAAAAAACCAAATCAACACATTGTTACACCAAGCCTAAACAGTCAGCCAGTTTTGTGAGACAGATGTGAAAGGCCACAGCTTAGTAGCTCTAACTCTGTGTTTAGTGGACAAGGACTCACACTTTCAAGGTTTACCTCTCAATAATTTATTGCAAGACATAACAGATAGTAAGACCATAACTCACTTTGGATTAAAGCACAAGTCTAAAAGAGGAGAAGTAAAGTCAGTAAGAATGTTAGTCCTCCAGTTTGTAAAAGAACTTCCTGCTCAAACACTCGCCTAAAGACAAATCAACCAGCTGGTTTATGTGTGGAGGCTGCCAGCGTTACAGCAATGACAGACACAAACAAGGCCCAATAACTGACAATGATACACGGATATTTGGGTCCATCATGGTTTACGAAACATGAGAATGCAAATGTTTTTGCGTCTCAGGTGACTAGTTTGAATCCTATTATGGCAAATGAGGGGACACTGTCGATTTTGTATGACCGCCACTGGCTATTTTTTCAGGAGTAATTAAACCCTGCCAGCACTTTCTGTTTACTTCCAACTAGTGCAATGACCAGCACACAAAGGCACTGATTTTAAAGATTACCTTCCACCCAAAATGCAGATTAGACAGTGGGCCATTTTTGGGATTCAACATTCACATCTTTCTTTTTTAAAACACACTTTGTGTTAAATTCTGTGAAAGGGCTTTACAAACAATGTCTGACTGATTGATTAATATTTAGTCCATGAAATATATAGAGAAACTAAACTGTGAATATTAGAAATACACCATATACTGCTTGGAAGACATATTTTAAAAGCTGCTTTAAATAATTGTATGATTGTTTTATTTAGTTTTTTTTTACCTATTTACTTTCAACTGTTTGCTCTATGTATGATATTTGTTTCACATACACATTTGAAATGCACCTGCAATAACTGCATTGCTTACTGAAACTGCCACTTGTATCTATGTTTTCCATTGCTGCATTTTAAGCATGGTAAAATGCATGAAACGTAAGTGCTATATAAGAAAAGATAATGTTAGACTCAAGATAAAAGTCTCTCCTTCAACACAAATTATTTTAAAGGAAATGGAATGCATTGTGTGCACAGACACATTCCTGCAGTTGCAGACACAGACACATAAAATACATATTTCATGTGTGTCATTATGCAGGATTAGGATGATAATCCTCATGCATCACCACACTATAGAATATAATAATATAGTTTGCAGCCACCTCCCAGTGACAGAATGTGACTGTGAAAGCAGCGGTTCATTTCTCCCTCACTCTGCACAGGACATCCCTTTCAAGCCTCAGCCAAAGCCTGGAGCTGCTGGCCTGGTTTGAGTGTGTCTCTGAGGATCCGTCAGTAGCCTGTCTGTGTGCTGGCAGGTGGTCCAGAGGCATGACCAATATGCTGCAGCCAGGCGGACAGACAGACAGACAGACAGACAGACAGACAGACAGACAGACAGACAGACAGACAGACAGACAGACAGACAGACAGAAAGGCAGGCAGACAGTCCCTACTTTGGCTCTATGGGACTGCTAATCTGGGGCCGAGCCAAGGTCCTGCAGTCCTGTATCTCTAGGCTCACTATGTCAACCTCTGTTTCAAAAGCTTTACTGAACTCCAGACTACATTAACCTCCAGGCAAGGGCGAGCACAGTCAGTCTTACACAAGCAACCGAGTAAACAAAATTGAGTGTAATGCTGGAGTCCAAACTAAGACACAGAGCAATGAACCTCAAAAGATTTATCAAACTGTTTATTTACAGAGAGAGGACCCAAGTTATGATAAGATCAGCAATGTGTCCAGCTATAAAGCAATCAGCAGGGCTATTATCAGACCCAGAGATTTTAAATGCATGCCACTTCTGCAGGAAAACGACTCACTCGACTGATCTCCTGTCAACATTAGCAAGGACAATTTTTTTCCTATTTGATGCCTTTTTGTAAGATTCTTTCACTACTCTCCAGCAGAGAAATCTTGTAAGAATAAGAGAGAAGAAGCTCTCACCCGCTTCTTCTTTGGTTTTGAACATGTTGATAGCTACATTAGGGACTTTGTACAGTAAATGTGTGCTATCATTAGCCTTCCCTATAGATGCTTTGTTCTTTCTCACACCCATCTGTTTGTAGTCGCTGCTGAACTGAATAAACGACAACCAATTTTCATCCAAGTGAGAGCTGGAGATGGTCTGAAAATTACTCCAGGTACAGCACAGTGAGAGGAACACAATACAGCTACAAACACTGTCGACATCTCTTAACACACCACTGCCAACAATAACAATGATTTTGAGTGCTGCAGCTCCCACATGTGCTTCAGAGAGATCCCAAGGAGTTTGAGGTGATCATTCAGTCTTAGGAATTAATCAGAGTATAAATATTTTGGCTTTGCCTTTACAAGTTGCTCTGGGTAGACTTGCTCCTGAATAATTACTCCACTGTGTTGACTTGTCCCTATCAAAGTGTGCAATCATTATCCTTACATAAGGAATAACATTAAAAGGATCAGGTTGATTTTTTAAATTCAACATTTTTACTGTAAACAAAACACACTAAGACACAAACCCCTACAATTAGAGTACAGTATTTGTGCTTCATGCCTGGAATAATATTATTTAATGCCGTAGATAACAAAAGAACAGCTGCAGTGCTAAATTAAGAACTGCAGCCAAACAGAGTTGAAAATTACATTTTTGAATGAACTGTGCCCACCTCTAGGGGCCCCGGTGCCTAGTGGTTAGTTTGCACGCCAAATGTTCAGAGGCTACAGTCCTCAAAGTGAGCAGCTTGGATTCAAATCCGACCTGTGGCTCCTTTGCCACGTGTCATTCCCCACTCTCTATCGCCCTGATTCCGACTCTATCTACTGTCCTATCTCTATAATAAAAGCCTAAACAGGCCTAAAAATAAATCTTAAAGCTGGTTCATGATGCATTTCCACTGCTTGGTACGCACAGTTTTGCAGCGCTTAAACTCAGTTAAATATCAGTGCATTTTCAGAATCAAAGAGTTGTGGAAGGGGACTGAAAGACCTTGCATCACTACCCAATCACCTCCAACACCAAGCTCTCCCTCAGTTTGACAGAGCAAAACACTGACCCTTTACAGAAATAAAAAAACACACACTGGCCTGATATTCTGCATTCACCATAGCTCTCTCATCATTTAAGTAACTGCCCCTCCATCTCTTCATAATTATTTTTTACTTCAGCCAAGTGAGACTTTTCAACGAGTTTAGTATTTCATATAAAAACAAGACAATGAAGCCTTCTGTGACCTTGCTCTCAACAGCCATTAAGTGTCATTATCACAGTTAATTTTCCACACATTACCTGCATGAACAATGGCCCATGTCCCCAGGGGTGAAGATGTTATTACTCACCCTAATGCCCAGCTCTACATTTTCTCCGCCGTACACCTCCATCCCCTCATCCAGCAGACCAATCTCCTCGAAGTACAGCCTGTCCACCACGAAGCAGCCAATCAGGGCAGGGCTCCTGAGGGATTAGAGATGATGAAGATCAGTTTTGTTCCTCTGCACAGGTTATTTGTTAGCGTGGCACTGTTGCTATAGTAACAGCGGGGAAAAGACAAAAGACCTTGCACAAAGTATATTTGTCCGTTAATGCTGCATGAATTCCCCTTTTAGCAGGGATGATATTTGTTTTACTTAATTTCACACATCAAATAATACTATAATGTTCTTTGATTCAGGTCTTAATGACACAGTAGTGTTCACTTACTGGATTGGTGCACTCTTGTTACTCTTGTGCCACCAGGTTTTGGGCGGGTTGAGGTAGCGACACCACAGCTCCCAGTCGAAGCCGTGGGCGGACAGTGGATACTCCTCAATCTCAAACGTGTCGTACTTGATGTTATCAAAGGATGGGGAGATTATTCGGGTTCTATCTTCTTTAATTCTCTGAAGAATGGGTTCAGCCCTTCACACATGGAAAAAAAAAGTGTTTTTATTGCGAGTATTTGTTTTCGACAAGCTCTTTCCATTGCCTTATTGATCAATGAGTCAAGTATGGGTCAATCATTTGAAAAAATAAAACAAAATGAGTTTAATCAAATGTATTACTATGACAAAGCCCTATTCATATCTGGTAAGTATAAGTGTTTTTTTCCCCATAGGAGTATTCAGACATGAGATATTTTTACTATTTCCACCCCCTAGTCCTTGAACAATGACATGCTACTTAACATGCATCTTACATATGTCTTTGCAATGCAAAATTGATGACACACCGATGAAACATTTGACATTCTGCTGTAAGGATACGAGTGGCTCAAATATAAATGCCAGCATACATACCCTTGCATGGCCTGACTAAAGACACTTCAATTTATGTCTTTAAGGCAGATGGCCTGTGATATCGATGGGTGGCTCTACCTAACGGTAGTGACCAAAAGAATAAGAATGCGTATACAAGGGACTGAAATGAGTTTCCTCTTGAGGGTGGCTGGGCTCAGCCTTAAAGATAGGGAGAGGAGCTTGGACATTCGGTGGGGAACTCAGAGTGGAGCAGCTATTACTTTGCATTGAAAGGAACCAGTTGAGGTGATTCGGGCATCTGATTAGGTTGCCTCCTGGATGTGTCTCTTTGGAGGTTTTCTGGGCACATCCAACTGAGAGGGGACCGCAGGGTAGACCCTGAGGGATTATATATCTTGTCCTGTCTGGGAATGCCTTTGAATTCCCCAGGAGGAGCGATAAAACATTGCTGGGTTGACTTACTGCGATTACTGCCACCGCGACCTGACCTTGCATAAGCACAAGAAAATGGATGGATGAAAAAATGGCTGTCTACCCTTATTCACATGGCTATTGACAATGTCTGGATTTAGATGGAGCTGAAAGAGCTGGCTTGTTTAACCCTCCCTCTATGGAGCCATTCCTGGCAGCTTATCTGGACACGTCTCCAGCCGATCCCGTCTGTCAGAGAGCAGAGTGTCCGTATTTTACTGCTGCCTCTCATAATTTTAATAGAGACACAAACTGCATTTCTGTTTGATCTTATAGGGCCGGATGGCGCCTATGATCGCTGGCTCTGGCTGTTAAACATACAAGCTTTTAAGCGCTGGACTGTCTCTCACTGGTTGTGAGATGGCCCAGCATACTCGTGTATGCTTTTCTCCTAGTGGAGATGATACTGCCTGTTTTGAAGAGGGTATGCCAACAGGGCATGTCCCTGATTCTGGTGGCCCTTAAGTGACCCAATCAGTCTGCTGGCAGTGAGCTTCCTCTTCACGAAATGCACTTCCATTTCAGAGATCAATTGTGGAAATTTGTACATTCCTTCAGGAATTGCTTGATAAGGGCAGCTATATCTGGCTGTCACGTTAGCTTTGATGGGATGACGCCATGTGCACACCCTCTGGCCATGTGTTTTTAAGGAGTTCACCGTCTGATGACTGTGGTCCCCTAATAGGATTTAGCTTTAGTGCTTGATGCTCTCTGTGGTTCCCCATTTGATCCTATTGAGTCTTTAGATATTACATTTTCCACATGCTTCTTGCTTTGACCTTCACAAAATGAGTTGGCAACCTTCATGCTTTATCTGTGCATCCTTCTTGCACCCAATTCACTTCAGATGGCTCCAAGTTTACATTACCCTGTTATGTTCATAGTTCCATGGCTTTTGAGCTCCCTTTGCATCTGAGAGCAGAGGAGGTAACATGTGCGTGTGCCACATAGACCGCACTCAGAGTGCATGTCTACTGGACCAGCCTATCCAGCCAATGGCAAAGCTCTGTCTAAACAATGGCTTTCTCACTGGATGTGGAGGCTATTTCCACAATCAAGTGAGGTCCATGCAGGACCTCTTTGTTTAAAGGGGTATCTTTAAGTGGTATCTGATGTGCAGCAAGTTGGTCATCACCACCATTTTATTTCGGTTTTAACGTCTAGATGTGACAGCTCCTTCAGTGGCGCATTCTGTTCTTTCTACTGGGTCTATGATGCACTAGAGTGCTGGAAGTTTTGACTCTGGTTCGGTTTGCTTGTATATATGTCCAATATGTGTTGTACTGAGTGAATCGACTGAAAGGGAACAAAATGTTATGACTATAACTTCTGTTCCCTGGAGGAGAGGAAAGAGGTACAACACTTGTTTGCCTTACAGCACAGCATGTGTTGAGTGAAGAGTGGCTTTCTAACTGAGGCTGAGACTACTTTGACGGATGTGTTTATTTGCAGGCGAAACCACACATATGTCATAACAGACCATCTGCTTATAGGCATGAATAGAGGTGTCTTCAATCAGACCCCGCGGGGGCATGGTATCCCATACTATATATGTTGTACCTTGTTCCTCTCCTTCAGGGAACAGAGGTTATAGTCATAACATTTCAATTTTCACAAATCAAATTGGAAAACCAGAAGAGCTGCATGGAAATTTACGGCATGCCTGTTGCAATTCCATAAGGTCATGGTGTTTTCAATATGTTTACTTGATCGAAATACAATAAAGGGCTCTACAAAAAAAGGATATAGTAAAGTTTCACAATATTTGTTTTCACTATACTATATCCATTTTCTAGCCCGATACTTTCAATGGATTAAAAATGTCCTGTTATTTCCCTTTAAATTCCTTGAATCCTCAAAGACCTCAGTGCCTGTAGATGTTGATTTAAATGTATTGCTGTTGGGCTAATAGGCTGGCAACTAGAACCTAAAGCTGCCACGAGCAAGAGAGAGTAATCTCAATAATTTATGAAAATGATTTAAGATTTTGTTATGCCGATATTCAAAGCTAAGCTTACTGGTCACAGTTTGTTATTTAATCCATAGATATGAGAATGGTGGCTGTCTTCTTATCGTACTTTTGACGGCATTAGTAAGAGAATTCCATAAATACCTCATAATTTCATAAATGGTTCATGATTGCATCAATAAGCAGGTAAATATTATTTATCTCAAGGATTTAAAACCATGTAAGCTCAGTGAGGATATAAGTTTGGATGTTTTTCAGTTCCTCATGACAGATTTGGGACGGAGCGCAGAGTTTCCGGGGGAGTTTGAGCACCCTGACAGTGATGGTTATGATCTTGTGAAGCATAGTCTCTGTGTTTTTGACAAAAAACACAGAGACTATGCTTCGATTACAAAACAAACAAACACATTGAAAAAAGTAATCATTTTTTACAAACATACTTTAATATGACTAAAGAACCATTCTCTTTGTGTAGAGCTGAGCTGACCTCATGCTCTACTTGTTGTGAGTGACTCACCAGCCAATATTGAATTCGACGTGGGCATCAAACAGGGCAACGACTGGGGCTGTAGCAGCCCTCCACCCGCTCACTCTGGACCGGATAAGCCCCTCCTGCTTGGAATGCCGCACCATCTTGATAAATCCTGGACTTCTGCTGTTAGTCTCAGACACGAAATCCTGCAGCTTCTCCTTAAGCTCATCTACAAATACAAACATTTTTTTGACCAATTTTTAATACATTTTTGCAGATCTCGTGTGAGACAGGTGAGAGAAGTGATACTTGTGAGAAAAATTCCACCCACAACACAAGACGCTGTCATATCCTCCTCCAGTCATGTCCTCCTACAGTCTGCAGAATTTCAATGGTAAGAGTCCAGACGCACTCATGCTTCACTGCTTTGATCACTGGACCAAACAGACAGCAGCTTGAGTTGCACAGCAGACCTCCATGTGGCTTTACCAGTTGTAAGGAGGTATTGCAATATTGAGGACTGTGCCAGCAATGCTTTCAAAACACTGCGGAAGGAGATGGAGGAAGTCCATCCGTTTTATTGTCTGGCTTCAAAGTTTACCTGCATTATTACCTGAGCTAAATCCTTCACTATGAGTCACACAGCCTGCTGATAAATGAGTCAGAGGTACTTTTATAACCACATTTTCCTTGACAAGTCATTAGTGGTAATAATATTCAAATGTTTAATTTCTCCAAATTATAATCAATTTTAGCAAAGATTCAACAATAGAAATTTCAAGAAGAGTGAGAAAAACTTGGGCTGATTAAAAGTTCTTTAAAGGACAATTGTTGGAGTCTTCTGATTAATGTCAGCAAATTTGTGAGTGTACATCACCACAGTAATAACCCAACTCTATACTGTTAAATCAAGTGAATAAAGCTGGACAAAGTTCAAAAGTTACATGTTCTGAGCATTTGTAAATAAAATAATCTTTGGCTGTTTGCACTATTTCACTTTTAGACAATGTGACCTTTTGATTTAATGAAAATAAGACACAGATTCAAGCAAATTTTTGGGTGCTTCAGAAGTAGGCTCCACTGTGTGATTTTCTAAACCTGCACAACTCGACAAGAGTTCCCTTAAAAAATGTTATATATCTGATTGTGAAGTTTATAGAGGCTTTGAAACAACACCCTTGACCTTCTTCTGATCAAAGACATCAAATATTTTCAAAGCAGCACATCGTCTTCTAACAAGTCACGATTCTGCAAAGACCCACCATATATCCAATTGCCCCAGAGTTGACTTATTTGAATAAAAACTGTTATTCATAAATATTTTGTATCTGCCTTATTTTCATATGGGCTGCTTTGCTTAATAATTGTTCTAAAGCTTGATCCAAAAGGCTGACAGGCTGATAATTGTTGGTATCTTTTAGTTAAAAACGCCTCACAGAATATCACTCTTCGACAGCCAGCCTTAAAAATAAAATGCAAAACCATAGAGGAATTAATTTACTTAATTTCTTAATTTCTCAGCAATCTTTTCTAAAGGTTGGAAGAGTAGTGGTCACGAGTTAAAAAAATATTGAAAATCTACCAAAAAAATTAACCTATGGCTTCTCATGTTTGTTGAAAGTTTTAGTTTGAGTATTAGTCATGGCCATACTTGCTCAATCCTGACACATTTTTTGTGAAATGGCTAAATCCCTTCAAAAGAAGACACCTCATCGACGATATGTGAGACTAGCACTGGGGTTGTTTTTATCGTTTCGATTATCCACAAGAGGTTTTAAAAAAATCATAGAAGGGGAGGTGTGCTGTTTGAAAACGGTGCAGGGGTATACACATAGGACTCTTAACACATTGATGATAAGGTAAGTAAGATAGTTTCCCATTGAGAAGAGCCAGCAGTGGCTGGTTCTCTATCCTTCCTGCATAATTGCAATCAGCCGACATCCCAGGTATAAATCTGCCCATGATTAGCTTTCAATACCGTAAAGCACAGAGACTAGGGAAATGTAGGGCTAAGAGACCCTCACTTTTATTAATTGATGTCTTTGCATTATGTGTAAAAATGTCTTCCCTATGGACTCTTAATTCTGGCTAAAGAAAAAGCTCCTGCAGTTACTCATAAGAGCAGCTGCTGGTTTCTCCAGATTACAATACCATTTTTAATCCATCAATAATGAAGTCATTGAGATGAGTCTGTGAATTGAAAATAAGAATGATGATGTACAATGCCTCATAACAAATCCTATTAAAGCATAGTTCATTTCAGCAGGAATGGCTGATGGCCAGCAGTCATCGCTCTTTAACGACTGATATCCTGCTGAAGCTCTGCTGGAAAGCAATGGGCTTTGGAATGTAGTTGGACTGAAACAACAAGTTAACAGGTTTCTAACATCACAGAGCAGCCAAGAATTAAATCCTGTTAAATATTCAAAATGTAACAAGAAAGCAGGTTTTTCTCAGAGGATGAAAAGCTAAAGGAGAGGCGTAAAATGGTGAATACACTATGAAGTTCCTCATCACACTTTAATCCTTAGTGTGACACAATAAAGCAACATTTAAAATAAATATTTCTGTCCATATATGAATCCTGTTTTTCTGATCCACAAAAGACACTTTTTCATTTGTATTCGAACACGGCTTAAAAGTCCTCTTTTTCTGTCTTTTTATAGTATGAATACTTTTTGTTCCTGTCATTCATGTTAAAACTAACCACCATTTTTATCACCACACAAGCGTTATAACTTGCACAGCAGATGGCCAATCAGCATGAGACCAGGCTTCACAAGTGTTATGTAGCCTGCACTGCGCTATTTGGCAATTACACACTGATCTTAGACATTTCTGCAGTTGTGAACATAATGATCCACTGATTCTAACTCTTCCTCCACATCTTCATCAGTATTGTATCTAAATCCAGGGGCCAGAGTTTGGATATGAGACCATCAGTTTGTTTAAAACATTCTGAACAAATGTTACTAAAGTTCCAGCACAAATATGCACTGCTTGTATTTTATAGTTGGCAGTGAAAACTGTACACTCAACTATGTTGGTTTTTATGTGAGAATCATCCTAACTTTTGAGTACCCTCCAGCTTTCAACTGGCCCTTCTGCCACTGCTTGCTGGATGTCTACCTGCTTTCAAACAGTAGCTGGAACTTCTCTGGCCCCCTGAGCTGCTGTCTGGATCGTCAATACTCACAGAGATTCACAAACGTGTAGGGTGAGTAGAATCAGAGCGAGTTACAAAAATTGTTTTTGTGCATTGTCTGAATCCTGCACAATTCATCTCAATTACTGCAGAAACGTATTATTTAAAATGAAGGATCTTTTATGATTAGCAGATAAATAATGTGCAATCATTTGAGTAAACACTCATTTACTATAATGTTAATCATTGTATGAAAAAAAAATGGATTCTTCTACTCAAGTCTCAATAACTACTGTTACTTAGTATTCATTGTTTAGTAATCTGAATAACTCCAATTTTCAAGAAGGAAAACATAAAATAACTAGTGATTTTAGTTATCTGAATCTCTTTGATGGGCATCTGAAAGAGTGCCTTGGTTTCACAGACTCGATGAATCATATATATATATCACATATATATCTTATAGTTAGGGCTGGTGCTGGTGTAGACCAGCTCTTAGTTATTCTGCTATAGGCTTAGACTACCGGGGGAACTGGCACCTTGAGCTCCTCTCTCTCTCTCTCTCTCTCTCTCTCTCTCTCTCTCTCTCTCTCTGTGCATATACAGTACATCATATTACTGCATGTATCTATCTGTAAATCTCAATCAATAACCACCTACTTTCCTGGGAGCTCTTGAGCTCTCTTAGGCTCCTCAAGATCGTTGGTTGACGGCCTGCCAGACCACCCCCCCCCCCACCGGATTGTTGATGGACGGCCTGCCAGAACAACCCCCTCCCCACCGGATTGTTGATGGACGGCTTGCCTCCCCCCACCCCATTGCTCCCTATCCCTCTTCCTGCATCTTATCCCATCTCTCCCCCTATCCTTTCCAAGCCCGGCGCAGTTTAGGCCTGTGAAGGCTGTTTCGTCATGATCCGGGGATCCGGCTGAAGATTTCTTCCTTTTAATAAGGCAGTTTTTTCTTACCACTGTAACTTTTGCTGCTTTTCTAAAGTGCTCATGATGGATAGGCCTTTGTAGGCTTTGTAATATAGCAATAAGTAAGGTCTTTTACCTGATTTTTGTAACATAACAATAAGTAAGGTCTTTTACCTGCTTTTTGTAACATAACAATAAGTAAGGTCTTTTTACCTGCTCTTTTGTAATGTTAACAGACAAAGAGTAAGGTATTTTACCTGCTTTTTGTAAAGTGTCTCGAGATAACACTTGTTATGAGTTGACACTATACAAATAAAAATTGATTGATTGATTGATTGATTGAATCAGACTGAAAAAAGTTCCTTAGAGCTAGTGATCTAGCAAGGGCACCATGGGAGACAGGGAGAGGTGTGAATAAATGACTTTATTGCGCTTGAATGTTGCTGCCTATCAAAAAATCCTTCAGTCCCACTTATGCACAAGACTCCTACTTGGTATCATTTAAGGTAAAGTATGGAATCATGTGTCCTCCAACAGCCTGTCTAATAAGTGCAAACCCCTCACAAAACCTCACTTTAACACAGAGAGCGTTTTCTCGGGCCACAACTTGGGACATTATCCAATTAAGGAGAAATCAGCTAGGTCAATTTGCCCTTCTCTCCCTTGATGGCTACACATTCTTCTGCATGCTAATGCCTCTCAGAGGGGATCTGTGACAGTGCTGGATGACTAATGTAAAGCCATGGGTGCCTGGGAGTTTCGCTGCGGACGATGACCCCTTCAACAATCTCAGCAGAATCACGGGTCAACAGGCTAACGACTTTTAGCACAGATAAGATTCACAGTCATGGTGATAATGATAACACCAGACCTATCAGACACAGTGTGACAGAGTGCTCAGGCAAAGCAGGGTGAAATGCCATCAGCAAAATGTCAATGCGTGACTTGGGTCCCAGACGGAGCCAAAGGCAACTGCTCCCTCGTTCTCAATTATGTGATATATGTGAAATATGAATTCATGAGGCCTGATGTTATAATCCAAGGTGCGCTAGGAGGAGTTGGAGAAACTTTTGGGTTTTCATCTTCTCATTTACTAATAGAAAACTTCTGATATATATTCAATCTTCTGATCAATAACAGCCTGAGAGAGAATGATTCTTTCTCAGTGTGTTTAAATAAGTTACACAGACGGTAGTCGATATTCTTTTCCAGCAGGCTACTAGCCATGCTACATGTTTTGCATTATTGACTTTGGTACACATATATTCTTCCCAATGTCAGTATTTCCCCTGTTGATTGCCCTTAATGGCTTCTCAGTCCTTGGTAAAGGGAGCCTAACCCATTTAAGTTTATATTACCTATAAATGACCTTGGCACAGTATTGTTGCCTTTTTATAGCCTGCTTCCTCCTCTTAACTGTATTTAAGTCTCACACAGAAAATAATAGGTCCACTTTTAACAAGTGACTTGAGGTCAATTTCTTATGCTTTGCATGGCAGATTAAAGCCACCTACTGTAGAAGTGATCGCACACATGAGTCATCTTTGTAATAACGAGCAAACAGAGCTCTGCAGCTACATCGTCAGCATAAACTTGATATCTTTTCAACCTGACTCTGTTTACACAACATCCATTGCATTCAGATGCAAGAATTAGGCTTGCAAATGCAGACAAGATATGTACAAACACTTCATCACCTTGCTGGGTTACTATCTGCCCCTGGGCACATTTCCTGGTGTTGCAGCTAATGAGTGTTATTCATCAATCGGTTAAATCCAGTGAACACGGCCCCTAATTAAAAAACCTGAAAGCAGTCTGGAGGCTATCGGAGCAGCAGTAAATATGGGAGCTGCCAAAGCCACCAAAAGCTAGTCACTTCCCCCATAGTTACCGTTTCTATACCTGGCAAGCACTCCTTTCTCTAGGTGTTTTCAAACATGGTCATTTTCAAGGATCATGAGAAAAGGCAGAAGTAACACCCCTAACTCTTACTGTATTCACAATCTTGAAAGGGGACATTTTTTAAGTAAGCTGTGTCAGGACACATAATAACAGTTGCAAGAGTGATGGGGAACCAACAGACCTTCCAAACTGTAGCAAATACCTAAAAAGACAAACATAAAATCAACTTTGAGTTGCATACCATTACTTGAAATTGATCGTGGAACCTTGATTTCAAATTTTATCAGCACTCTGCTGCCGTGTCTTGGTTACAGAACCCTGCTTGTAAAACAGGATGGTAGGAGCGGGTGAAGTGTGGAGACTGAAGGGGAGAGGGGAGCTGAGGGATAAAGGAGGTGTTTCTGAAGAGAGCATTGTTTTGATCTGCAGGTCACATGGCAACTCTTTAAGTTTTGCAAATGCAGAGTAATTCGCTACTGCTTCCCCAAACACATCACTTTAGAATAGAAAGAAAAATAAGGCTTGATAGATTGATTGATGCTACAGGACGATTATTGATACAAAGAACTGTCAGACATAGTCTGAAATGTGTCTTGCATCACAGCGATGCAACATATAAATCAAATTTAAGATACAAACATTTGACAAAATATTCGAACAACAAAGGAGTATTCAGAGGATTTCCACACGCTTTGATCTTGGATTCAGCTCCATATTCAATTTTAGGATTGGCTGGTGTACTAAAGACTGTTTCAGTCTGACTTTATTAAAACCTGGGATTCTGTATCTCAGGTTTGATAGTAAAAGTTCAAATTCACTGTTCAGAGAGTGATTAGGGTCAGAGAGAATGCTGTTAGCCAGCCTTAACACGTGTAGCTTGCTGTATTATATAAGACAATGCTGCTTACTGTTATTGCTGTTGTCGTCCACCAGGATTATCTCTTTCAGAAGGTGGGAGGGTGTTCTGCTGATGGCCGAGTTGATGGACCTCAGGATGACGGACAAGGCTTCATTCACAAAAATGAACACGATGCTTACTTGAGGGAGGTTTAAATGATAGGTGATGTTTCTGCACCTGTGGAGGAAAAATTAAGCCTTTGTGAGGCAATGTTCATCTGCATCTTGCCAAAAGGACGTTTGACAATGATTCCTTAAAAGCAGGATTATGTCTGATTTCACGCCAACTGTTTTAAAATACTATATATGGACCTTATTTTCATGAAATAAAGATATATATATATATATATATATATATAAATACATTAGCATCAGAAAATGGACGATGACTTAACTGTAATAGTGTTAAACCTGCTATGCACTTATAACAGGGATCAATTTAAAAGGAATAAACTATTGGTTTATTTTTCCATCAGTCAGGCTCCGCTTTTTTCCTTTAGAAATATTTTTTTCTGGAAGCGTCGGTTGTACAAGTGGTTTGCTCTGCTCTCCATGTACAGAGGCTGCAGTCCTCAAAGCATGTGTCTGGGGTTTGATTCCAGCCTCCTGGTATAAAAAAAGGTATAAAAGCCCCCCCCTGCCAAAAAACAAAAAAAATATACTGTCGTCTGGCACACACTTTGACATTTTAATTGTGATAAGAAGTCCAGCTTCTTCTCCTGAGAGTAATTTTAAATCAGTTTCTTTGGCGATGCAGAGAGATCAAATTGTAAAAAATATGGCTAAAAGAAGCAGGTGATATCACATTTATTTTTTATGATGTTTTCTTTGAAATGAAAATCGACTTAATACTGTGTTCTTTGAGTAATGACTGGACAATTATTTCTCTAATTGAAAAATATGGATTGTCAAACATTACCCATAATAACCCTTTTGAAAAATCCATGACCATACGAAGAGTAAGTTTTTTTCAGGATTGTGTTATTTTCACCTTTTTTCCTGCTGTTAGCACATAATGATGTTCATTGGGGCTGAAAACCTGATTTGTTAACTGAATGCCATGGTTCGAGCACTTCTTTTGGCAATGTGTGTAAAACTTGTGTGATTAATGTAGGCTGTCCCTCCAGAACAGTTTTGGATGAGTGTACAGTATTAATGGTATTGGAGGTTCAGAAGAGATATTAGTGCAGTGGACAAAATGCCCTGAAGATCTTAGAGCTGTGTCAATTTTCAAACCAGAATGTGTGCTCCTGTAACCTTGGCAATGTGAATATGAGAGTGATGCTGAACAAGCGAATCCCAGCTAACCAGTGTTTAAGCTGGGATGTGAAGGACCTTTACATATATGAACGTTGGTTCCATTAAAGCTTAATCAATTCATTAAAAGCTGATTAAGCCTATCAACGGCATGTAAATCTCCATATGTTTCACATACCGGAGTTTTAATGCATCTCAGACCCTGTAATGATGTGTTTAATGTCAACCAGCAGTGATTGGTTTGCCTGAGCTTAACAGGGGATAAACTGTAGAGATGATGCTGGCTAGTATGGCATGACACATTGTGTAAAATTCTTAACGTCCAAGAAAAGAGCATAAAATTTAAACTCAGCATTCAAAGGGAGATTATAATAAAAAAACAACAACAGATAACCACTGTTTTAGCTTCTCCTTTGTTTGAGGAGAGAGGTCATGCGTTTTAGGCTTTAAAAGTGTTACTCTAATGACTATTGTGGCCAGGAGGGGGAGACAAAAGTTCCACACTGCCGGTTGAAAGATTGTCCCGTATTGAGTTTGGACGCTTTCCGTCTTTGACTTGCATTCAGTCAATATATACAAAAACAAGGCTGTTTTTAAAGATGACTTTTGTTCACACCTGTATTTGATAGTGATAGTGGAGAAAAACAGGAAGTCTGGGGAAAAAAAGACAAGACGAAAAACCAGTGGCAGCAGAATCTCATGAAGGTGCTTACTACTGTACTCAGAACATTTGTGCCCATGAGGTAAGAGCCATTTAAGTGCTAATTTTTAAATGCATGTGTTGATTATTATTTTGCCTGTCCATGTGGTTTTGTATTTCCAAAGTAAGAGCCCTTAATCAAGCCTAAACAAACAAGAGTTTTCCTTTGCCTACGTATATGATTGTCTCAGCAGCAGGTAATTGTTCTGCATGCTTTAGGCAGACATTTTCCACAGTTGCATTCAGTTTAATGCAATCAAACATTCAAACCATGATTGGTAACAACAATGAGAATTTTCTGCAGGGAAAGTGCTTCATGAGTCCCTTGAAAAATACTCAAACGAGATTGGTCCTTTGCAAAGAGTTTGTTTGAAAGGGCTGAGCCAAATGAGAGCAGGCTAAAGATTTAATTATTAGCCAGTTCAATGTTTTACAGAAATAAACCCAGCAGTTATTTAGAAATGTTGTGTTTTTTTCATTTCAGTAAAGACAAATATAGAGTAATAATAGTAAACTCTTCCTTTTATTTTCTGTCAGATGGTAACGTGAAACAAGCATTTTGAACACAGCACATTTGGTGTATAATACTGGACATTTTATCATGTCACACTTTATGTGACAAATTTTGGGAAAGACTAAAAGCTTATTATCAGCAATTTAGTATTGCTGCTAGCTAGCAATAGCATTAAGCTCAAAGCATTGCCTCTAAAATCTTAAGACTTTTTTCATGAATGTGATCCAGTACCTTGATAGTTAAGGTTTTATTTTTTAACTTTTTAAAGGCAAAATTGCTACTGTAATATATCAGAGTGTATTAATAGCATTAGCTGTGATAAAAAGTATAAACCACAATTCCTACTTTTATATACGACCATCAACATTTGTTGATCTGCCAATTACACCATCACCACCAAACAGCTGCTTTTGACACTGTTATATCGTACACCACCTATTATTGTGGCAGGTTGATATCCAAGAGATGGGAGAGGGAAGACAAATCTGTTAGCAGACAGTCAAAGTGCCACTTTTGCAGCACAAAATTGCATTGGGCACACTTTCTCAATCTGTAATTTTCATGTGTCAGAAAACAGAGAAATAAATAAATAACTCAGAAATGACTTACTAAGGGCATTATCAACAGCTTTCATCTGGTGCAGGCCAACAGATAAAAAGGACTATGTTTGAGCACCGTTCTACCTGCATTCTTACCCATCAGGCCTAAGGTCTGGGATCGGCCTGTCCAGAGGGAGACGATCACTGAGGTAGCCGTTGTATCCGTAGTACTGGAACATCTTCAGTGCCACTCGCCGGTTGTCTGGACTGAGCTCCTGACCCCAGTGAGCGAACAGAGATGAGTCGGAGAAGGATGAGTCTCCCTGACTGTCCTCTCCCCTCCCTGGAGTCTCTAGGAGGCACAGGAAGACAAATGGCATGAATATTTGTCTAGCAAGTGACATTGTGCATAAGGTGACATTTCAGGAGTGTGGGAAAAAAAATCACCCTGCTCATATAATCACTGTGATAAATGCTGTTGTTCTCTATGTTAGGAGGTGAAGGGTGGCCTTTTAGTTGAAGAGAATGATTGGCTGTCCTTCAGCAGAAAAAAAAGTATGAGGTCATATGCATAAAGAGGAGCTGCTGGTGTCCTTGAACAAAAGATTGGATTCCAGACGCTCCAGTGCTGTTCTGTAGCCGACATTGCTCTTTGACCTATTCAGAGAGGAGAAAATGAAACTAATGTCTCTGAAGCATCACCAGCATAACACACACATCCCTAATAATGAATGAAGTTGTACTGTGGGATCTTTTTTTTTGGCAGAAGTTGTGGGTATTCATGCAGTACAGAGTATTGTAGAAGGGCCACTTTTGTGTTTAAAGACAGGAAACTGAAGGGAGTGCAGTCGTGATTCATTTCATAGCTGAGCAGCACTGACAGCACTGAAAACTCACACTTACACACTGACAAACTGTTTATTACTGCTTGTGATGCTTGTTGATCAACTCAGTTCATGTCCAGACTCCATAAAAAAGACGTGACATCTGCTAAATTGTCTGTCCTGCCTTCGAGATGTTTTAATGTACTTTAGAAGCAAACTTCTGAGTGTACTTAAGAGTCAGGGAGCTTTACTCACAGGCATTGAGTTTAAATGCCAAACACCATTGCATACAGGGGAGATAGGGAATGAAGTGATATCAGCACGAAGAAAATGTAATAAAAGTTTCTGTCCCGGACTTGCATGAGTTAAGTCTGTAAGTCAGAAATCTCAGCAAATCCGTCTCCTTTTGCTCTATTTTCATGCTTCAAAATTAAAGAAATGTTAAAAGTGAAATAGCATTCTCAGGTTGTTATTAATAACAAGCATTTCATTATTCCTGTTGGGACATGTTGCAAGGATTTACTGGAGTGCAAAAGTAATGTTGCAGAGTGTTATTGAACAGCATAGAGATATTTATGATCTGTGAAAAAAACGGGTGTGAGAGCGAGAGTGTGGTGGTGAAACTGTGAAGTTGAGAAAAATCTTTTATGCGATCCGAAAATAAATACAAAGACTGGAGGCAGTGTGATAGTTTGCAAAAGTATAATATCAAGTAAGAAGCGTACATTTATGACTAGAAAAAGGGAGGTTTCTTTGAAAAAAATGATGTACTTCATGATCATTTATCTAATTGAAATGGACAGAGTAAAATTGACTTCATGTCAGGGATAATAATTTCATATTGTAAATTAAAATGTCTTAATCAACAGGAAATGAAATGTCATGAAAGTGGCTGCCGCTATCATCGGTTATAGAAATTATTTCATTAAAAGAGAAAGCATCAGTCCCCAGCAGCACACTGAGGTTATACAGCAATAACAATGGGACAGATTTCATTATAGAGCTTCACTATTTCAGGTTACTGCTGACAGACAAGGTTATCGGGAATAATTCACAACCTACCAGATATGAAAAAGAGTTTATTTATTTTCAGAGTAAAATAATCTGCAAGAGACAGAGATAAAAAGGATTTCTTCGTTAAATGAATCTAGTTCGTCATAGCAATGTTTGCTGCTGTTTTTATGGATGTTGTTTTTAGAATAAATAAATAGTGTTATAGATCAATAAGAAAACACAAACCCTTTTAAAATCTAAGACACAGAATTAGAAAGCAAAAATAATCAACATTTAGTTTAAACTACAGAAGCCTCAGAGACCCAAAAAAGGAGAAAATAGGCTGAGTCCTCAGTGACACTGCAAGCAAAAGACAAGGTTAAGTGTGTGCGTGTGTGCAGTATGCATGTGTTTAAAGCAGATTGGGGGAAGGTTAATATTCATGAGCAGATTGCTTTTATGTACAAGTGACAAACAATCAGCCAACCTAGAACTAGGACAACAATATGGGAGGAGGTGTGAAAGGATTACATTATGAAGAAAAATAAAATTTGCTTCTGAAGAGAATGAAGCTTAAGGTCTGTGGAAGGTGAAGAAAATAATTGTAGTGATACCTACAGAGTTAATATTCTGTTAAATTCTGAGTTCTACTTATAAAGAGGACATGTTATGTTTACCAAAACACTCTGACCTTTACAGCCTCCAAAACTCTCCATGTAGACTTTTGGTGGTACAAACTTTCACTTCTGCCTAATTTTTACACAAAATCTTTGACTAAAAAAGACAAACCTGTACACTCTGACCAAACTAAATGCAAATGCAGTTGTTGACTAGCTGAGAACTGCAGCCACATTTATCAATATAACCCTCAGAAAATTGTAGGGACCAAAAACAGAATCAATATTGGCTCTACATTATGACTCAATATGACTCGTAAACAAAAGGTAAGACACAACAAGAGCAATCGTTTTGAAGCCTTGATGTTAGCAATTTTGCTGCTGCCATCTTGTTTTTGAAATCAAATGTGATTGTGCAAAGCTGGATGCATGCGGCTACTATACCTCTTAAAACCACACTTTTAGATTGGGAAACAATGCAACCATAATATGAAACCATGCGCTGAAATGTTAACAATATACAACAAGCCCACTAAACCAGTAGACTCAAGCCGGAAAAAATGATAGAGAGGAAAAGGTATTAAAAAAATTCACTATTTTTTGCCCATCTTAGACTCCCGTGTCCCAACGTTGTTTTCCTTGGGATACAAACAGAAGGCAAGAAGTCAGAAACTTAATATTAAAAACCATTTCATCAAAAGTCGTACCAACTCATTGAAACTATGAGAATGAACCAAACCAGGCCTTGCTCAGCTTGCTTAAACCGCAGTTAAAAGTTTTGCACAACTATCAAAGGGTAAGGCCCTCATCCAGATGATGCCTCACATTTCAGTGCCCATACCGTTTTTTTTGTAAGATCTGGATGCTTCATGGTTTAGACATAACCTTGCTCTATTGTGTATTTGACTGTAAATAGGACCATGATTAACAAAACTATGCTAACACTATATTGACTAAAAACTGAAAGTATAGCAACTGAAACCATAAAGTCATCAGTAAAAGGGTTCCAGGTGAAATAAGTCTGGTAACAAAATGGGTTAATTTATTGTATAGCTTGTCATAATGGGACTTCTTTAAGCAGTTGAGGTGCACCCTGTCGACCACTATGATTAAAGCTCTTCCTTATTGGTTGAACTTTTGGGGACCAGAGTCCCCACCCCCTTTTCCATTCAGTCTTTGCCCTAAATGGATCCTAAACATTTTTCTGGTTATAACAACAGTCTGATAAGATCAAAAATCTCAGAAAGCCATGATGATGATATGTCAGTGTTGTACTCAAAAAGTGTTTATGCTACATACTGAGTATCATTTTTTCTCTCTATTTTTTACACTTAGTTAAGATAAGAGGTAGGAGAGGAATTTTAGAGGGGTTTGTGTGAATGTTTCAAGCTTATCAAGAGTGTTTGACAAAACACTCTTTGGTTCTTTCTACTGATAATGTTACTATGTCACAATTTAATTTTACAGACACTTTTGTCCAAAGCAACGTACCTCCGAGGAATGTTATTATTATTATTTAACTTCATTTAAGCTGGAGCCTTTTATATTCAGTCTACCATATGTGGTAGGATACAGAATTGTACCCACAGTCTTTTACTCCAAGACATGGATACATTATTCGTTAAAATTGCTCAATGAAATATTAACAAATCAAAAAGTCAGCTTACACTGAAGTTCAGAGAACAGTGCACAGCTCGAGCCTGAGGCAGAGAAAAGTTCAAATTTCACATTTAACACAGAGTTGTTGAAGTTTTACTGCTGTGAAGCTGAGGAAAAGTGTCTCGGCTCCTGAAAAGAGAACAATGTGATAAGACTTAGAGGAAGGCTAAAAATTCTTCAGGACTTCAATCCTGGCAGGCATCCCTGAAGCTCCGTTCATTTGTCTGCTTGTGGTGGAGATTAATTAACCCTACAGAGACCGTTTCCTCAGTGGTGGATCTGTGAGGCAGTACGGAGGAAGGTTGGTAATGTTTGGACCTTGGCAACATTGTCTTCTTTGTGTGCTGTTGCAGTGGGACACACACACTAGATGACTGACAAGCATGGCAGTACAAATAAATCACATAACTTGATTTTTTTTTATTGAGCAGGTCATGTGACTGACTTTAACCTTGTGTTTTGAGAGCGGTTTCTTCTTGAGCACACAATCTGACGTCTCACCTTGGTGCTAACTCAAGTAAAGCAGAGCCAAATACCTGAGGCAATAACTAGAGTGTACCTACAGTATGTGTGTGTGAACAGTGTAGACAGGTGAAGTATTCCCAAAGCTTCCCAGCAGCACTCCAGGCATGTGTGGAGTGCAGCTCTAAGAGTGATTGAGCTTACATGAGCAAAGACACTGAGTTCTAGTTTTCACAGTCACATAAGGGAGCCAGGAGAAAAAATATATATACATATAATATGATCATACAACATTAAAAAACAAATTAGATTGTAAGCCATTAAACTTTGCCACCAAAAAGAAGTCATTGAAGGAACACAAGCAGGTCCTATACTGTCTCTCTTTTACAGGCACAGCAGCACATGTTGAATTATTTAATGTGATCCCATAAAAGATAGTTCACAGAGATAAAACTGTCCCACAGATTTTTATCAAATTATTTCTTTTCACCGCCTCCTGCCTATGTAGCGGATGAATTATTTTAAATTTTGAATGCAAATCATTATCATTTTTGACACCTCAGAGATAAATCTCTTCCATGTGACGCCATCCTGCAGAGTTCAGATGCATGCTTCTGATAAAACAGCTCTTGGCTGGCCTTTTTTTATCCGCCTCTCCGTACTCCATTATACACTGGGACAGAAGTGGGAAGCATTTGGCTGTTGTAACAATTTTAATGGAAATCAATAGAAGTGTAAAATCTCAGCTGAAAGATCTGAAGTGCGGGTTACAGTCAAGTGGACAACCTGAGCCACTT